TTTTAGAAAAAACTTTGTATTTGTTTCTGTGAATTAGGTGGAACATCTACTTCTCCCAGACTTGAGGGAATGGTCTTGTGTATGGTCATCCCCTGTGCATATTGTGTGCCTGGTAACTTTGGCTGGCTGACTAGGGCTCTGACTAGCAACTAGCACAAGGGTCCCTGCCCTCTCTGCTGGCACTGCCCCAGTGGGATGGCCAGAGCTTAAGTGGGCACGGGCTGGGGTGATTCTGGAGCTCTCTGCACAGGGAATGCCCTTGCAGGACAGCTAAAGCTAAGTGGGCATGGGATAGGGCAGTCTCTGGGTTCTCTGTGTAGAAGACACCCTGGCAGGATAGCTGAAGCTGAGGTGGGTGCAGTCCAGGTTCTCTCCGGGTTCTCCACACACAGGGCACTCTGGCAGGTCAGCTGGAGCCAAGGTGAGGCCCAGGCCAGGAAGTCCTGGGCACTCACCACCAGGTCACCCTAGTGGGATAGCTGAAGTTGAGGTGGGGCAGAGACTGGAGGGTCCAGGGGCACTCCATACTGAGGGAACCCTGGGAATACAGCTGAAGCAGGTGCCAGCCAGAGTGTGCTCAGCACAAGAGGGTGCCCTGGCAGAGTGACTGGAGCCAAGGCCAGTGGCCATCAGGTGTATTGGGGGCTCCTTGGTGGGGTGGCTGAAGCAGAGGTGAGCAGGGAGGTCCCAAAGTACTGTGCCAAAGACACCCTAGGGGGCCACCTGGAGCCAAAGTGGTACGGCTCTAGAGAGTTCTGGGGTGGCTTGTGCCTGCTGCACGTTGGTGTAACAGCCAGAGCTCTAGTGAGCATTTACAAGGGGTGTCCCAGTGTGTCTCTTGCTGGTGCACACACTAGGCTGGTGCGGGCTAGGAACTGGGAGCGCGTGAGCAGGCCAGCTCTGGCACCTGGATATTCTTGCCATCCATACTATCAAGGTGAAAGGAGAAGATGAATCATGGTGCTCACCAGCCCCTCCAACCTGGAGAGTTCCAGTAGCTCTCGTGGGATCTGGCAGGATTCTAGGGCTAGTTCCTTCATATTCCAGTTGCTCTTTTATTTTTTTTTTAATATTTTTATTTTTTTATTTCTAGGATAGAGAGAGACAGCGTGAACAGGGGAGGGTCAGAGAGAGAGGGAGACACAGACTCAGAAACAGGCTCCAGGCTCTGAGCTGGCAGTCAGCACAGAGCCCGATGCGGGGCTCGAACCCACGAACCATGAGATCATGACCCAAGCGAAAGTCAGACGCTTAACCAACTAAGCCACCCAGGCGCCCCTCCAGTTGCTCTTTTAAACCATTGGTTTTTTTCTGTGCCCCAGGGCAGAAAATCTGCTCACAGTCCCTCAGTACTATCCCTCTCCACCTCAGTGTGTGCCTGGGGGGGGAGGGAGGGGGCCCTTCATTACTGCGTCTCTCTCTTGCCATTCTCTAGGTGGTCTATCTTTTGTTGTGCAGAAGTTGTTTAGTCAGCCCTCAGTTCTTGAGGAGGAATTGGTTTACATATAGGTATAGATTTGGTGGGTGGAAGAGGTGAGTTCAGGGTCTTGAACCAGAAACATCAGGCCATCTTGGACTGGAGTCCCAATTATTTTTTCATTGATAAGAGCTATTTCTATAGTCTGGGAAGAATCTGTCAGACCTATTATTGAAAACTTTGGGGGTTGCCCTCTGCATCTTCTGTTTAGATGATAAAGAGTTCCTAATGTGGCCCAATTAATCAATCTTCCTACATGGCTACTGTTTTGTGTCCTGCTTACCAAATTGTTATTTTCCAAGGGCAGGAAAATATTCTCCTATGCCACCTTCCAAGGAGCCTTATTTTTCATATTTAAGTTTATAATCCATCTGGAATTGATTTTTGTGCATGATGTAATCCATCTGGAATTGATTTTTGTGCATGATGTGATCAAGATTCACCCCCCTTTGGATGTTCATATTGATTGATTCAACACATTTACTAAAGACCATCTTTTCCTTTCTCTACTGGTAACTATCATAAACTAGATAGCTCTATGTGTTTGAGTCTATTTCTGAACATTATTCCATTGGTCTATTTGCCTATCCTTGTGTTAATGGCACTAATTATGGTAGCTCTGTAACAAGTTTTGATATCTAGTGGCGTGGTCTTCTAACTTCACTAGTGTGCTTTAAGATGGTCTTTGCTATTTTTGGCTCTCTACATTTCCATGTAAGTTGTTAACCCTCCCACCTTATGTCCTCACCAAAATATTAGGATTTTGATTGCACTGAATCTACATCAATTTGACAAGAATTAACACCTGAAAAATAGTGTTCAAAACAATAAACATGTATTACTCTATTCAGGTTTTTGAGAAGTTTCTCAGAAGTTACTGTGTAAAGCTCTTGCACATCTTTCATTAGTCTAATGAGACTAATTCCTAGGTATCTGATATTTAACAAAGATACAGAAGATAGCAAAAACACTAATTAGGAAGTTTTGTTTGTCTACTTAGAAAATCTAAAAGGATCTGCAATCCCATAGACTGAATTTTATTTCTCCAGTCAATACTTATACTGTTTTTTTTTTGCCTTGATTTTAGACTATAGATTTCCCTATAAGCAGTGCTTGACCTGCAACCCACAAATTTTTTTTTTTTAATATTTTTTATTTCTAGGAGAGAGAGAGACAGCGTGAGCAGGGGAGGGTCAGAGAGAGGGAGTGACAGACTGAAACAGGCTCCAGGCTCTGAGCTGGCAGTCAGCACAGAGCCCGACGCGGGGCTCGAACCCACGAACCGCGAGATCATGACCTAAGTGAAAGTCGGACGCTTAACCGACTAAGCCACCCAGGCACCCCATGCAACCCACAAATTTTAATGTTGTATTTTCATAACAAAACAAACCCTGAAAATAGAGTAATACCTAAATAAATAAGCAAGCAAGCATTAGAAGGGTTGGAAGATAAAGTTAAGGAAATCCTTTGGAAACAAACGCAAAGAAGTTAGAAAAGAGGAAAAATGTAGGAGGTCCAACACCTGAATACGAGAAATTCCAGAAAAAGAGGACAGAATGAGGAAGGGAAGAAACTATGAAAGCAGCCAAACACTAAAGGATTTAAACTTTCCAGAAGGAAAGGACATGAATAATTAGCACAATGGATGGAAAAAAAAAAAAAATATCACCAGGAAATTTAGGATCTTTTGATTTCTGGAGTTTTCTAAAATCCTCAATCAAAAAGACAAGTGGGGCACTTGGGTGGCTCAGACAGTTAAGCATCTGACTCTTGGTTTGATGACCAAGAGGGTCATGGTCTCACAATTAGAGAGATGGAGCACCCTGCTCATACCCTCTCTCTCAAAATAAATACACTTAAGAACAAAAAAGGACTACATGGTAATGGATTGAAAATTGAAAGACTTGTTGTCAATTTTGAACAAAAGAGGCAAATTCTGAGGGAAAACTGTTTTCAACCTAGCATTCTAGACCTAGCCAAACTATCAATGAAGGAATAGATATTTTCTTGTGAGATTTCAAAACCTTACTTAAGTGCATTTTCAGAGAAAACACCTGGATGGGCTCAGCAAAATAAGGGACTGCCACAAAAGATCAAGGACACAGATAACTGAAGGTAAGAAGCAAAGAGAAGCCCCAGGAGAACGCTTTGCACACACTTAGCCAGTAACCAATTCAGCCTGTAATAGACGGAAAAGGGCCCAAAAAGATGGATCTATAGGAGGAAAAGAAAACAGTACTAATAAGAGGTAAGAAAATACAATCATAACACACTACTAGTTAACCAGTGAATAAAAGTCCTCAAACACTGAATATAAGTTTAATAACAAAAAGATATTACTAAGTAAATTACTAATTACTATATTAAAAGGATGAAAAGATGTAAAGTTAATTCATGGGTGAGTTCAAAGTACAAAATCCCCCTCTTCTATAACAGCAAGTTTAAATAATGAAGAAAGTCAAATATGTAGCAGAATATATCCATCTTTGAAACGATGAAGGTAAATACTACAAGAAACTGCTAGAAGTTGGGGAGTGGACTCCTGTTACTCAAAGATTTACAAATTATTAGATAACTCACTTGTCAATCCTCCTTTATTCAATGTCTGAAGAAATTTCAGACACAAATTATCTAATTGCACTTAGAAAAAGAAATGAAAAAACTACTTTTTGGAAAATTATTCTAAAGGGCTTTTTAAAAAGTTGGGAAAACTGCAGGCCAAAAAACAAGTACATGTTCAGCCACAATTCCTAATGTCAACACAAACCACAAATAAAATATTCATGAGTCTTAGCTAAAATAAACAACTGCAAAATTAAGCACAGAATAATACAAGATATTTTTACTGCATATGACCAACAGTACAAATTACAAACTCAAATTTTAGTATATTTTTAAATACATTAGAAGTGCACAATAAAATAGCCCCCTACCTTAAACTTTATAGATGCACTTTTCCTTTGTCAAATACAAGGTTCACATGAGACTGTCACAAAAATTAATAGTCTGTTCAAGTGTCAAAGGACTTGACTTTATTTAAAATATTTACGGACCAGAACAATTTTCTTTCAGCTTCTTAAGACGAAGACTAGTACAGTAATATTTAAAGACTAAGTAGAACACAGTGGCAACAAAATTAAATAAGGAGTTGGGGGGAAAAACACCGTTCAATATTAATAATACAGTTTATCTGCCAGATTGTAGGTCTCCTGTGCCCAACCAGATCAACTTTCAAACATTAATATTGAATTTAGTACAAGTTTTTGTAAATGTTTGTTTTTGAGAGAGAAAGACAGTGTAAGGGAGACAAAATCCAAAGCAGGCTCTGAGTTGTCAGCAGAGTCCAACGTGGGGGTCAAACCCACAAACCGTGAAATCATGACCTGAGCCGAAGTCGGCCACTTAACCGACTGGGCCACTGAGGTGCCCCTGAGTTTAGTGCAATTTTATAATGTATCTAGTTATAGTAGAAATGTAGATCCCTGGTAAGAATGCTTTTTTGAAACCAGTTTTTTTTTTGGGGGGGGGGGGGCGGCGGAACTTTAAAGGATTCCAGTAATGTAGTGTCTTGGAAAACATTAACTGCAGAAATGCCCACAATTAGAAAGGAAACCTGACAGTATGGGAATTGAAATGGTATGGCAATGTGAAAAGTTAAAAGGAATGATTACATAAAATATGAAAAGGATGAGACCATCTTTAACAACTAAAGTAAAAACAAAGAGCTCATTGCTTTATGTATAACTAGGAACTGCTACCTTCAAAATAATTTTTGAATACTTATTTTTGGACCACTCATGTTTGACAAATACTGTGCTAGGTGCTACGTGTACACTGATGAATAAAACAAGGTTCTCTGCAAAGACAAAAACCTTGGTCTAGAAGGACCCATTATATCCTTACAAATTTAATTAAATATGGCTTTGGGAACTAAAGCGAAAATTTTTTCCAAAAAATTAACTTTGTAGTTAAGAATGCTTATGTACATAGTCAAAATTTCAGAGGATCCTATACACTTAGAGACTCTAAACTGCTGACTGTTTCCATTGATGACTGATCCCTTGTCTTATCAACTACCTGTGTATCTTTCCCAAAGTGCACTTTTACATGCAAAGTGTATGAAAACAATGAAACATTTCATCTATTCTTGCATACCCAGTCTTAGTAAAATACACAACAAACTGCAATTTTTTAATCTGGATATCAAACCAATCATATTATACATCTGAAATAAATGTCCTCACTTTTATAACATCAGTGTGTCAGCAAATATGGGGGAGATGGACCTGTGATTGAATAGGTGAGGCTGTTGCAATTAATCTTCATCATCTCTTTGAAATGGTACTACTTGAATTTCTTTGACTATCCTTTCGGCTAATGTTTTACTATTTGCAGCAATTATTCTTCGGGACATCAAGTCAAATGGCTCACCTAAAATCAAACCAAATATGGAAAATGGTTATATCACCTACAAGAATTCCTGTAAAACTAGTACAGCAATATGTATTATGATCAATCATATGTCTTATTATTCTTCTTAGTTTGTTGTCAAGTTGGATTCCATAGAACATCCAGTGCTCAATCACAAGTGCCCTCCTCCATGCCCACCTCCCTTCTCCCCCACCCCCATCAGCCCTCAGTTTGTTCTCAGTATTCAAGAGTCTCTTAGTTTGCCTCCCTCCCTCTCCCCAACTATTTTTCCCCTTCTCCCCATGGTCCTCCATTAAGTATCTCCTAATCCTCCTATAAGTTGAAAGCATATGGTATCTGTCTTTCTCTGCCGGACTTATTTCACTCAGCGTAACACCCTCAAGGTCCATCCACGTTGCTACAAATGGCCAGATTTCATTCTTTCTCATTGCCATGTAGTATTCCATTGTTTAGGATCAATCATATATTTTAATACTTCCAGTTTCCTTTACTCTGTCACAGAACCATAATGTTTAATCTTTAGCAATACCTAAGTGAGTTTTAAGAATATTTTAGTAAATAACAGGGGGGTTTTTTTGAGGGGACTGTGGTGTCTCAATCATACTAGTTTGAAAAATGTCATCTTCATATTTTTTAGTTTTTATTTAAATTCCAGTTAGTTAACATCAGTATAATATTAGTTTCATCTATTCCTTCTTTTGTGTGTTTTCTATTCTTTTTATTAATCTTACTACCTCTTTAATGTTTGGGAATCTATGTCCAGGAAATTCGATTCCAAAGCATTTCATATCACTCTCCCATTTCCTTATTTCTTTGTTGCCTTTCTCCCAGATTACTGGTGAATACTTTGGGGCCAGGTCCACTCTTCACTTTAATAAAAAATTCAGCATCAGTTCAAAGCTAGCAGTTGACCTCTCTGGGCCCGAAGCAGAAAGGGATGGTGAGGGAAGTTCACTGTCAACTACCACCATGGTCACCATTCAAAGAGCTCTTGGTACTATCCTCAGATTCAGTGACCTCCTCTACTTCTCTAATAGCTTCTCAAGACTTCCTGGTACCGTTGAAGAGGCTTAGTCATTTATCTATTTCACATTACAATTAGCTTCTTATCCTCCTTGCCTCTAAGTTTGATATTCTGATTTTGCAGAAAATCACATAACTTGTTTTTGTTTTGCCTTCAAGAGTTGAAGTGTAATAAATATTAAACATTAAAAGAGAGGAGCCATAACTAAGGGAGAGTCCAACAGAGAGAAAAATGCTTCAGTGTCCCACCATTTTACCTGTCACATCCATCAGCACTCCACCAGCCTCGGTAACAATGATGCCAGCGCCTGCCATATCCCAGCAGTGAATTCCCATTTCATAATACGCATCTGCAACACCAGTTGCCACGAGGCACATATTAATAGCTGCTGTTCCAACACCTCGGATCCTACCAAATAACATTTAAAAATAAGATTAAAAAAACAACTTTCCAAAAGGTTCTTTCTTTAGTTTAACAGCTGATTGAGAGAATCTGAATGAGTATGGAGATTAAATGTTTAAAAAAAAACAAACAAAAAAGGACATCTAATTATTTGTTTATTTTGAGAGGCCAAGCAAGCAAGGGAGGGGCAGAGAGAAAACCCCAAGCAGGCTCCCCACGGTCAGAAAAGAGCCTGACACAGGGCTCAAACTCCCAAACCATGAGATCATGGCCTAAGCTAAAGTCAGATAATGAATCAACGGAGCCATCTAGCCACCCCAACAACATATCTAATATTAAAATAAAAATACATAGGGGTGCCTGGGTGGCTCAGTCAGTTAAGCTTCCAACTTTGACTCAGGTCATGATTTCACTGCTTGTGGGTTCAAGCCCTGCACTGGGCTCTGTGCTAACAATTCAGAGCCTGGAGCCTGCTTTGGATTCTGTGTCTCCCTCTCTCCCCAACTACTCGTGCTCTATCTCACTCATTCTCTCTTAAAAAAAAAAATAAACACTAAAAAATTTTATAAAAAATACATAAAACCTAATTGTCATAGTATACTATACAGATGACAAAACTATCTTATTAAATAATTGCTTTGTGAGGATTAAACACTAAAAGATATTTTCAGGAAAAAAAGAAAGTACCATCCTTCTATAATGGCACGCACGTGCATTCATATTTGTCTCAATTCAGGAACTGCAGACCCATAATGCAAGCGGGCTCCAAGGAGGGTAAAAAATGTTATTAGTCATTGCCCAGTGTGCACACCTCAGTATGTGTGACTAAAGGGATAACAGCCTGGGCTCTGGGGAGATGGAGGCCTGCCCAAAAAGAGTATTTCAGGTTTGTATCTCTTCCCTGGAAATATATCAAGTTAAGTATGGACACTACTTGATAGCCATTATAGTAATAACCGACTGAGGAAAGCACCAATAAATGCTAAAATGAGCAAGTGCAAGATTGGTATTTACATAATGTCAAGGTGTCTCCCCCTCAGATACATGCATATATCCTTTTTTTAAAGTTTAGAGAGAGAATGCACATGTGAGAGGGAGGGAGAGAGAATCCCAAGCAAGCTCGGCACTGTCAGCGCAAAGCCCGACATGAGGCTTGAACCCACAAACTGAGATCATGACCTGAGCCACAATCAAGAGTCTGATGCCCAACCGACTAAGACACCCAGGTGCCCCTGCATATACCCTTATTGTGCTTTTGTTTTATCGCACCTCACTGATACTTTTTTTTTTTTTTTTTTTTTTTTTACACAAATTGAAGGTTTTTGGCAACCCTATATCAAGAAAATATATTGGCACTTTGTGTCTCTGCCACATTTGGTAATGCTTGTGGTATTTCAGATTTTTTCATTATTATGGTGATCAGTGATTATGATGAGCTCAGATGACTAGCATTTTTTTTTTAGCAATAAAGTAGTAAGGTATGCACACCGCCTTTAGACATAATGCGGCTGTACACTTACTACACCATGGAAAAATACACATAATTTATATATACTGGAAAAAACCAAAAGAATCATCTGACTGGCTTTATTGCTGCGATCTAGTACCAAACCTGCAGGATCTCTGAGGTATACCTGTATTTATAATGGGAAACCTCTATCTACCACTATCAAGTGATCTAATTTATTATCACCAGTAATGGGACAAAAAGGTATCAAGTACCTCTTCCTGTGATGCACTGAGAAAGACAATGTTGCTTTTCTGGCATTCCTGCCAAGAATGTAACTCTAATCTTTTGCTTTGTTTTCTCTTTTTAAAAAAACTTCTTTTCTAATGTTTATTCTTGAGAGAGACAGACAGAGCACATGTGGGGTAGGGCTAGAGAGAGAGAGAGAGAGAGAGAGAGAGAGAGAGAGAGACAGAATCCAAAGCAGGCTCCAGGCTCTAAGTTGTCAGCACAGAGCCCCATGCGGGGCCCAAACCCACAAACTATGAGATCATGACCGGAGCCAAAGTCAGACAATCAATCAACTGAGCCCCCCAGGTGCCCGTATGCAATTTTTATCTTGAGAATGCCAGATAAACCCAACATCAAAGGATACACTACAAAATAACTGGCCTTTATTTTTCAAAAGTAGCAAGCTCATAGAAGACAAAGTAATGGTTCCAGATTAAAGAAAATTGATGAGAAATGACAAATGCAATGTTTAATCCTAGATTGGATCTTGGATCAATTTTTTCAAAATTTGCATAAGGCCGCTATATAAATAATCACCATTAACTTCCTGATTTTTATAATTATAGTTATGTTAGGGATTATCCCCTTATTAAAGGAACACACACAGAAATGTTTAAGAAGAGTTCATCATGTCTGCAAGTAAATTTCAAATGGCTTTTACTCAAACTCCTTTTGTAATTGTTTAAATTTCTGAATATAAGGCAATGACCTCTGTTCACAGTAAAGGAAGTACCAGGAGTTGGGAGAGCTGGAAGATGGCACAGTAGGAGGAGCCTGAGCTCAGCCTTCCCTACAGACACACCAGGAGAACAGCTACATTTGTGCAACTAACTGAATACGGACTCAAAATCTGGTGGAACAGACCTTCCAAAGTTAATCGTAGAGACCAGACCAAAAAGGGTAGAAGGGGCAATGGCGTGGTTGGGAACAAACCCCTCTGGTGAGACTAACCACAAACGGGAGGGGCACCACATGCATGGAGAAGGGAGATGATCAGACTCCATGCCACGTACCCCAGGCACTGCGGAAACACACTGGGAAGACAAGTGCCCGTAACACTGCCTCTGGAGACGAGTGGAGCTTAACTTCACAAGCTTTTAAAATCAGCAGGCTTAGTTCTGGAAAAGCTGGAGGGCAATAGGAAACCATCTCTACCCTAAAATAACCCAAAATAAGTAACTCATAATAACCCAGCCCAGACACTGCATAGAAGCAGCAGTTTGAAAAGTGCTTGTGGTACCCACAGAAAGTTATTTACTATCACAAAACATGTGGAATGACAGATATTCAGGGAACTTCTCCAAGAACAAAAGTGTAGGCGGGCACCACTTCATCTCCCCCAGCTTAAACAGACAGACACATGTGTCTGCTTGTGCAAACACCCTCTTCCTATTTTACTAGAACCACCTGCCCCACCCCAACATTCACCTGCAGCCCCACCCCATACAGCCCCTCCCATAGCCCCACAGGCGTCCCCCAAATGCAGCTCCTGCCTCACCACATCCTGCAAGCAGCCCGGGAAGGGACCAAGGGACTCTCCCTGGGGTAGAGGGGGAAAACCCCCACACACCAGCATACCCACGGTTCCAGCAGCCCAACCTTTTAGCTGGCCACCCAGGGAGAGTGCCCTGCACCTAGTGCACTGCAGCTACAGCAGACAAGACTGGGCAGAGACATCTAGTTTGGCTGCTCACCCCTTCCACTATAGAAAGCCTCTTAGGGGGCCCCACAGGGAGAGTGTTCTGCCCTCTGGTGTGCCCACAGCTAAGGCAGAGTAGCTGCAGACACCTCCCCCATACAAGCATGCAGTGACCTCAGGCCCCGCAATGGTACAGGGACCAAACCCAGCATGGTGTGCCCACAGCAGACAAATAGGTTATCTCAGCCAACAGGACTAAAGGCAAATGTGACTCCGCCACAACAGTAGAGTGTACCAGCCCACAGAGAAAATGCCCTTGGAGTGCCTGGGTCTGGTGACCAAGGGGCACTGTGCTACAGGGCACCACCACCTTTCCTTCATAAGGCCACTTCTCTCAAGACCAGAAAACAGAACTTCCTAATACACAGAAACAAATAGAGAATTAGACAAAATCAAGAGACAGGACTATGTTCCAAATGAAAGAAGAAAAAAAAAATCACAAAAAGACTAAATGAAATGGAGATAAACAATATACCTGATAAAGAATTCAAAGTAATGGCCATAAAGATACTCCCTGGACTTGGGAGGAAAAAAATGTAGAATATCCCGGAGATCTTCAACAGAGAGAAAATATAAAAGAACGACCAATCAGAGATGAAGAACTCAATCCATGCTAGAGGGAATCAACAACAGAATGGGGGATGCACAAGAACAGACTGGTGGATCTGGAAGGCAGGGTAATGGAAAGCAACCAAGTTGAACATCAAAAAGAAAAAAAATAAGAACTCAGCGATTTTATCGAGCATAATAACATTAGCATTATAGGGATCTCTGAAGGAGAAGAAAGACCAAAGAAGTTATTTGAATAAGTAGTAGCTGAAAACTTCCCTGAGGAAAGAAGCAGACATCCATATACAGGAGGCAGAGACCCTCCAACAAGATGAACCCAAGGAAGTCCACACCTCCCTACATTATCATTTTTACCATGTTATTTAAAAAATTTTTTAATGTTTAGGGGCGCCCGGGTGGCGTAGTTGGTTAAGCGTCCGACTTTTGCTCGGGTCATGATCTCGCGGTTCGTGGGTTCGAGCCCCGCGTCGGGCTCTGTGCTGACTGCCAGCTCCGAGCCTGGAGCCTGTTTCAGTCTGTGACTCCCTCTCTCTCTGACCCTCCCCTGCTCACGCTGTCTCTCTCTCTCTCTCCTAGAAATAAATAAAACATTTAAAAAAAAATTTTTTAATGTTTATTTTTGAGAAAGAGAGAAAGATGAGCATGGGAGGGGCAGAGAGGGAGACACAGAATCTGAAACAGGCTCCAGGCTCCGAGCTATAGGCACAGAGCCTGATGTGGGGCTTGAACTCAGGAGCTGGGAGATCATGACCTGAGCCGAAGTCAGAAGTTCAACTGATGGAACCAACCAGGTGCCCCGTGCCATGTTAATTATAAGAAAAATTTTAAAGAGCAAAAAAACAGTTGCATACAAGGGGAACCTCATAAGGCTATTGGCTGATTTTTTTGGCAGAAACTTTGCAGGCAAGAAGGTAGTGTCATGATATAGTCAAAGTGCTTAGAGGAAAACATCTGCAACCAGAATATTCTATCCATCAAGAGAATTGTTGGGAATAGGAG